GGCTGCCATGACATTTAGGGTCAAATGCAGAGGACAATTAGTGCAAAATCTTTTTTTCACTTTAATTTAAAGGGGGGGAGGGGATACAAAAATGTGGTTATAATGGAAGTATATGGTACAAATCTTGTAGGTTAACAGTCCCTCCTTTATTATTCAGATGGATCAACTGATTATACTAATAATAAAGTCAAAATAGTTTTTAGAATATTGAATTATAGTGTATTTTTTCAAAAAAGCAGTTACTGGTATACGATCAAAACTGGTATCTAAAGGGTTACATTTGTATCGTAATTAATTAAATCATTATGTAAATTCTTCATGAAAAACTTGAGGACATTTTTTTGAAAAATATTGATCCGTCATCATTTTATTGCAGTTCAAATACAAATATTTTATGTTAACATTCCCAATGTTACTTTTTTTAACAGGGCATTAAGTGCAAATTGAAATTGTTTACAAAATATGAAAATATATTAAAAGATTATACAGATAATACAAAATAGGACCAATGTTGTCAATGGCTGCCTACTCCACTCTCCCCATCACATAGAAGTTTCCAAAGATTTTCATAATCATGTTTTTTGGTCTCAATTTTTCTGGCTCTTGCTTTCGGATTGTTAGCTAAGCAATGGCTTTGAAGCCAAGTCTTGACATATACCTCTGGTCTGAACTTGTTCAGTGGAGGGCCAACACACTTGATGAAAAGCACGGCTGACATGCTTTTTACCTCTAGGGCAGTGGCGGTTCTAGAACATTTTACATGGGGGGGCAAAGGGGAGGCAAGAGGTCATGCCAGGGTGGCATAGGAGGGCGGACAGTACGTGGTATGTTATACTGTATATAACCTATTTATTGTTAATTCATGCCCTAACACAAGTGTTCTTAATGCACAAGAGAAACAAGGTGTTCAGACAAACAATCGGGTGCCCTTTGAGTCCCCCAAGCTTACCTCAACCATTTTAAATGAAAGGAAACTACAAAATGTATTTTAAAGCAATGAATTAATGGAACAGGTTGTTTTGCATTACAATGTAAAATTAAATATATATTTTGTTTTAAAAAAAATTGGTTGTCTTAGACAGACATATTTGCATGTCCTCACTAAGCATTATTACATATTAATTTAATATTAAACAAATCAAAATGGCCAATTATCCCAAAATGTTGCTGCTAATATAATCACATGTTTGTCAACTTTAACTGATCAAAAATCAATTCTGAAAAAATACTTGAATTATCTATGAAATTGCAATATTGTCCTTCAGTTTGTTTCAACCCCGTCACGCCATACCATTTACCCTCCTATTAAAATAATGGATCAGTCCATGTGTGATCTGCATTGAGGGAATTACATCACAAAAGTGTCAGTTTCTTCTCTTACCTATATTTCAGATTAAGATTGACAAACTCAACATTTCAACTATGTTGTATGAATTAATAATAGTAAATAATTGTTTATTACAAAAATAAACAATAGTTTTGCAAAATATTACAATTTTGTAATGTCCTTGACTTCCAAGTGGTGCCATATCTTAGCTAAACAAGGTGTCATGCCTACTTTTTGTCAAAAACTTCAACCCTGTTACATTTTTTCAAGGAAATTCCTAGTAATTATTTATATTTTGTGCCTGAGGTGGGGAAATGTAAGTAGTCCACTACCAGATGTTATGACCAAACATTTTGGTTTCATTTTTCAAAGATATAAAGACCCAAAAGGCACCCGATTCAGAGAATACCCAGAATTCTGCATACTGTAAGTACTTAATTATAATTAAGTACACAAATGACATCACCCATCTCTTCAGAGAGCTACAGGTGACCTGTGCAGCAACACATTTCAATCAATATTAGTCAATACTAAGAGCTGCTAGATTGTGCTGCTGTAATGGAATATGTAAGGAGAATAAGAACATACCATGTGGTCCAGCTGGAGTTTCATCTGCCTCCTGATCCCTGCCTCTGGCCCTCTTTTAGATACTTCATCTTTATTCCTCACATATATTTCTTCTTCTTCACTAATGTCTTCATCTCCTCCTCTTCCTCCTGCTCTGAGCCTCCTGGTCTCTTCATCTCCTCCTCTTCCTCCTGCTCTGACCCTCCTGGTCTCTTCAGCTCTCTTTTCCTTTTCCTCTTTCTGTTCGTCCTGATCACTTCTCAGATATGTCTTTTTGTTGTTGTTGAATCACTCCTATAATCTGGCCTGCAAGAGTCTACTTGTGAAAAGCACTGGTACAAATGCTTGTATAACTTTACACGTTAGGGCCATGTAGCCTAGCTAATATGTAGCATATCATAAATATAACATCAGAAAGTATTGATCAAGCGCACACATGCAGCTGTGTTTGGATCCAGTTTTTACGGTAAAGGATGTATCCTGGTTTCATTGATCTGGCCTCATGGCTGTGATGTGTAGTTTACGTGGATTTAATAGTAGGCTACCGCGTAGTTTAGCAAAGTGATCGATCTCCCAGCTAACGCTGTCTGCGTAGTATTTTGTAACGTAACGCCCCAAACAGCGCAGAGAGTACATTCTGACGAAGAGATAGGTTGGTGTGCTCTCTATCTCTGTTTCCCATATTCCTACTGATTTCAGTCTTTTTTCTCAAACTATTTTAGGAGAGCGCGTTAAAACGGCAGCGTTTTATTAATATTTAGTTTCAAGCTCTCGTCCTTAGTAAAAACAAAACTAGTGGAAAGGGAAATGCTCCCAGGGGAAGCTGATCCATAGGTGCTGGGACAGCTCGCTCCCTCTCTGCAGCGGTGTGAGTCGCGGTCTGTGTGAACGCCGCTCCGCAGTTTAATGCAGGGCCGTAGCTGCGTTTTTAACGGGCCTAAAATGATATTTAAAATGATTCAATTTGAACTAATGTAATGCTTGTTTTGTTGCTTGAGAAGCTTGTGGAAATAGTGTAGGTTTGTTTTAGTACAGTTTTAGGGAAACAAAAGTTAGGGGGGCAGCTGCGGGGGCAAGGCTCTACAGTGGGGGGGGGGGGGGGGGCACCCTTGCCCCCCCTGCTCTAGGGAGCTTTTAGTTGTGGTTAAAATGTTCATCTGACTAAACCCACGTTCACACTCAGCTGTGGAGATGACCAGAGTGTTCACTGCTTGAAGGAGGGGTTTCAGCTCTTCTGGTGCTGGTGGTATCATTTCATCAACAGTTTTGAGTCTTATCAGCTAGCTAACACGAGAGAAAAACGTAGCTAAACTCCAAACTAAGTTGTTATTGCTGCTTATGTCCATAGATTCCACCTTTGGTGACTAAAGTAGTGAGTAATGACTAAGATTACTGATTCTTGACTTACCTGAAATGTTATTTTTAGTATTTTTAAATATGAAGTCCCTCAGATCGCGTTGTCCAGCTCACTGTAAGACCGAACAGTATAGGTTCTTGAAGAATATGGGTTGTTTTAACCCAAACATTTATAAAAGTTATTTCACCGCACATTTTCTGATGACTATGAACTGATTTGTAATATTGTGTATACAGTATTCATCCACTTTGGGTCATATTGGAGATTGTACTCAAATGTTTTTACTGAATCTGTCTGACGTCATCACGTAGGTGCTCCGCCCCCGACGTGCCTCACTGCTCTCACCCATGCGTTCGTTCATTTGAGTCCGCCATTATAGCTCCTCTCGGATGAAATAACTCAAACTTCCAGAAGTTTGCCCACCGTGCTCTCGAGTCTCACTGCCGGAATTTGACCGCGATACTCTGGTAAGTGTTAGTGTATTCTATAACCCCGAAGGCAGGAGAGACTGAAAAGAGTCAAGGGAAGCTTATAAAAGTTAACAGCATTTAATTACACAAAAGATGCGGTGGTGTACAAAATGAAATGTGCGAGTGGAGGCGCTCTCCTCATCCGCCCGGTCAGTCCAGGTCAGCCGGTAGAAAGAGGTCAATCCTTGGCTTGCTCTTCCTGTTGTCATCGGAGGTCTTCTCCTATTGGCCGGCGTCGTCGGGGGCGGGTCCAATACAATTTCTGCCTTTTTCTGTTGTTAAATTATATCATTCTGGTGTCTGTGGTTATTTAAACATTTCCTAATAAACGTTATTCAGCGGTAATAAACGAGTGCTAAACCCAGTGTGCTCAGTGTACAACATCACATGTCATTTCACCTTTGATTCACGGTCTGAAAATGCAGCATTTCACCACATGCTAATGCTAACCGGAAATGAATAATTTTCAGAATAAAAGTATTAAGTTAATAGTTAGTGAACTTCCGGTTTTTCAGAATAAAACTGATTTAAATTAAATAGTGTATTTAATTCAAATTAAATATCAACATTGATTTTAATTCAAATTAAATATCAACATTGATTTTAATTTCTAACATAAGTTACGTCTTGCCTTTGCACAGTATTTAAATGATTTGTTATTCATTTCTGCATCTAATGCTCTTTGTGTCGCATGGTGTGTTAGTTTGATTTGAGCTCTTGTTAGCTAGCCTAGATTTAATATCTGCCTCACTTGAAAAATGATTTAAACCTGTAAGACAGTATTTTATATTGCTTTAAGTTATATCTCAAAGTGGAACGTTTGTGTTGCAAAAGTTCTCTGGAAAATTCGAACCGCAAATGGCGGGAGTTTTTTTTCTTCTCTTGTTACTGCATGCATGTATGGTCATATTTTATTAACTTAGAGGCATATAGGATTTACGTTCATTTCATCCACTACAATTACCATAACCGTGCGTTCTGCATGTTTGTAAAAGCAAGCTAACTTGAAATACTAGACTATTCATTTTACAATGGGTTTCAAGTTAGCTTGCTTTTACAAAATATGCAGAACGCACGGTTGTGGCACAACGTTAGTGGATAAAAGTAACGTAAATCCTCTATGCCTCTAAGTTAATAAAACATGCCCAGACATCCATGCGGTAACAAAAGAAGAAAGCGCGCCGCCTGCCGCCATTTTATGCTCGAAAATAGTGTTTCTCTGATCATTTTGTGAAAACTTTGCAACCCAGCTAACCTTCAATGTTTTTTCTCTTTAGGCTGAAACTGAAGCAACTGGCAGATAAAGGGCTTCTTCAACCTAGTAAGCCTTGCAGTGGAGAAACTATAACGCGCTTGGGGAGGGGGGAGCTTGTGGAGCCTCAGCAGTGAAACTGTGGTGGCTTACACTGTAGGTGCGCCGCGTTGGGGGGGGTGCTAGTGTGTGTTAAGATGAGAGATAAAAACCATGCAAAGTTAATGCAGACTACCTTTGCCCTGCAGCGCAATGAGATCATCAATGATGAGCTACCTGTTGGAGAGACCCTGGAACGCTGGCCTGCCTTGACAATGGAGTCACAGGTGAAAATATTTTAGATATTACAACTATATAATAATTTTGTGTGCCTTTGTCACTGATAACTTGGCATGTTTACTCAGATTTAGCATGTCATGTTTCTGTTTATCTCTGCTGCCTTCAGTCCACATATACATTGTACTCTGAATTAAATAGTCATTTTATATGTTGGCAGATTTGTGCAGAGTTTCACAGGATAACGAACCTCAACCTGAAGAACCACTTTTACGCGGAGTTGGATCGGCATGCTGTTGAGCTTGTTCAGGAAGAAGGCGCCACGCAAAGACGAAGTGTCTGAAGTTCAGCTCTTCACCGCCTATGACCTCCAGGTGAGTCGGTTAAGCCTCTTGGTGTTTTAATATCATACTAGAGTGGATTTTCTGTGTGTGTTGGGGGGCGGGGGGTCAGCCTGATAGATTTAGATTTATTATTAAGATACTTGTGTTTGGGGAGGGAACAGCAGTGTTAATGTTATTGCACCTTGTTGTTGTGCTAATGAGATACAGGTGGGATCGCAGACGCCTCAATTGCTTCAAAATGGTAATCTCTTCAGTCATGGAAGAGCCCTTGTGATATAAATTGTTGTGTGGCTATGCTGTTAAGCATCCAAAGTAAAACAAAGATATATTTTCGCACTCAAGGATCAAGGTGACGTCCATAGCCGACGTGCTGCTCTCCTCCCTGCCTGGATTTCTGCATGAGGATGACTCCAGGTTTCTGAGGCTGTGGCATGTAAGTCAGCATAATAACTGTTTTGAATGTATGTGACAGATCATCAAAAAATATAGTTTATCTTCTAAATACACATGCACACACATACACACAGACAGACACACACACATATAGATACATAGACACATACACATACATATACACATACAAACAGACACACATACATACACACACACACACACATGCACACACATAGATACACATACACAAACACAGGCATACACACACACACATGCCGACACATACACACACACAGATACACACACACATACAGACACAGACACACACATTCAGACACACACATACATACACACACACACACACACGCAGACACATACACACAGATACACACACATAGACACATACACACACATAGACACACACATACATAGACACACATACACACACACATTGACAGACACACACAGACAGACACAAATAGATACACAGACAGATACACACACACAGATACACACACATAGACACAGATAGACACACACACACATACATAGACACACATACACACACACACACACACACACACACACACACACATAGACAGACATACACATACAGACACACACATACATACATACACACACACACACACACACACACACACACACACACGCAGACACATACACACACATAGACACATACACACATACATAGACACACATACACACACACATTGACAGACACACACAGACAGACACACATAGATACACAGACAGATACACACACATAGACACAGATAGACACATACACACACACACATAGACACACATACACACACACACACACACATAGATACACATTCACAAACACAAGGTTTTGTTTAGTTCCTTATGTAGTGTGAGGGTTATTTCTTTGTATGTACACAGACTCCTTTTTAAGAGTCCTCCCTTTGTTTGGTTATTTGTCAACCTGTGCCCTTTTGGCCCTTTTGTTTGTTCAGGCTACACGCCTTCCATTTTGTTTACCGCTGATACTTAAAATAAATCACTTATAATTATACAAATACCAATCTGGTCGTGTTTCTTCCCTTTAGTTCCCCTAGCCTAATAGGGAACGTAACAGAAGTGTTGATGACATGGGTGAGAAACGGTAGAATATCAGGAGTCTGAAGGAGGTTTGAAGGGATAGGGTCCAGAGGGCAGGTGGTAGGGCGGGCAGAGGTAATGGGGGTAAGAACCTCACTTGGAGAGAGAGGGGAGAAGGAGGTTAGTGTGTGGGTGAAGGGAGGGTCTGGTGACCCAGCAGTGAGTAAAGGTGAGTCAGAAAAAGAAGAGCGAATATCATCAACCTTTTTTTCAAAGTAGTTAACAAAGTCGCTTGACAGAAGTGAGGAGGGGGAAGGGGCTTTGGGGGGGTCCAAGAGGGTGGAAAAGATGGAAAATAGTTTTTTGGGATTGGAATAGGAAGATTGGATCTTATCTTGAAAGAAAGTGCTTTTTGCCTGAGAGATCGAAGCAGAGAAAGAGGAGAGCCTGATAGGTTAGGAGGTCGTCATGGTGTTTGGATTTCCACCGTTTCCGCTCTGCTGCCCGAAGGATGGTTCTATTAGCACGCAGTGCGTCATTTAGCCAGGGAGCAGGAGGGGACTGACGAGTCTGCCGAGATGTGAGAGGACAGAGAGAGTCCAGAGAGGATGAGAGAGTAGAGAGGAGAGTTTCTGCAGCAGAGTTTGGAGGCAGAAGTTGGAACGAGTCAGAGGAAGGGAGGGCTGAGAGCACCGATGAGGCAAAGGTAGAGGGGGAGAGGGAACGGAGGTTACGGCGGACAGGTGCAGATTTAGAAGAGATTAGTTTGTTATGTTTGGAAAGGGGTAGAGAGAATGAAATGAAAAAGTGATCGGAGGTGTGAAGTGGGTTCACACCTGGTTAAACCCACTTCACACCTCCGATCACTTTTTAGTAGTGCAGTTCCTTGAGAATATGAGATCAAGGACATTGCCAGCTTTATGAGTTGGTGGGGATGGAGACAGTGAGAAGGCAAAGGTGGTTAACAGAGATGTTGGTTCAGATATCTTCCCTGTCTGGAGGTTGAAGTCTCCGAGAAGTACAGCGGGAGGGCCAGTTTCAGGGATTTGTGAGAGGAGATTATCTAATTCCTCCAAGAAGTCCCCCAAGGTGCCTGGTGGACGGTAGAGAACAACAATGGTTAATTGTATAGGATGGGTTACTGTGACGGCATGGAATTCAAAGGTGGAAGTAGTGAAGTTAGTCTTTGGTTGGATATTTGAATTTCCTTTAAAGGTCCCATCTCATGGCCATTTCTACTGATCATAATTCCATTGTTGAGGTATACTAAAATAGATTTATATTGTGCAATTTTCCAAAAATCACATTGGTTTCTCATACAGCATCTCTGTATAGTATGTGTATTCACTATGTCCTAAACAGCTTGTTGGAGCTCCTGCCCCCCCCCTCCCTATGAGCCCAGTGGCCGTCAGCGAGACAGCGAGACACAGCAAAACCCAGCCCGAAACCAGCCCGAACACACATACACACACCCGCAGCCTGGCTTGGAGTGTGTATATGTGCTCACACACCGACTCACAGCCTCGCCGTGTCCCGCCGTCTCAGGGAGGAGAAATCGGCGGAGCTGCAGCTGAGAAAAGATTGAGTGTGTGTGGTCCAATCCACGGACTTAACCTAACGGCTCCGCGGACGTAACGTAACGGCTCCACAGATTGGTCCATTTGGGTATGGGCACGTCACTGTACCCAGGAAGAAAAAGAGAAATCTCCAACGAGGCGTTCTGGGGCAGCATAGACAGGTATTTTCTGTGTTAGAGTTTTACTCGCGACAGGGTGTACTTTGAGGGTTTGTGACTTTGCAGACCGTTTACATGCATAAAAACCTGGGTAAAAACCTGGGTAATAACTGGAAAAGCATGACATGAGACCTTTAATAGATTCAATGTCTTGTGACCCGATGACTTGATTACTGTTGAGAAATGTAAGCAGTTTCTCTATTGAAAAGTCTAATTTCCTTTCAGTGGCTTTCACGTCATGTGACCCAATGACTTAATATCAATGTAACATTCTTGTACAACACTGGAAGAGTACACACCAGAGATGGGGACTCGAGTTTGTGACTCGGACTCGAGTCGCACTTAAGTCGCACACACAGAGACTTCAGACTTGACTTGGACTCCTGCTCAAAAGACTTCGGACTCGACTTGGACTCGTGTTTTGGGACTCGTGAACAATCATTGTGTTTTCTATTTTTGGCGTATTAAAGGCGGGGTAGGTAAGTTTGAGAAACCGGCTCGAGATCGCTAGAATTTGAAAATACACAACCGGAGAAAATCTGCCACTTCCTCACAGAGCCCCTCCTCCAACACACACGAACGCGCACATGACCAATGAGGGCACGAGATAAGTTTGTGCCCCGATGGGAGGCTGACAGGCAGGTAGGAAATCCAGTTACTTTAGCCGGGCCGGCTATCGGGATGTTAAGAGCATTCCATGGAATATAACAAAAGTGTATCTCGAGCCGGTTTCTCAAACTTACCTACCCCACATTTAACATTAACATCATGGTAACACCATGGCGACCGGCGGCACACCTGCAGCTGTACCGCTTGTAATTAGGTTCAATTATAAAAACTTCGAACAAAACGCCGGCGGCACCAACAAAAGGAGCGTTCACTGCAAAGTCTGCAATATTAAAATCAAGGATACTGGTGCAACAACGTCAAATTTCATCAGGCACTTGAAAACTCACCCGGAGAGGTCAGTCACATTAACGCATATGGACGGTTAGCAAACATGTTTAGCTCAGCATCAGCTATGTAATGTTAACTTAGCTTGTTTTGTAACTGAATATTTGAAAAGATGAGTGAATGTTTGGTTGTCACACTTGTTTGCGTTGAGTGGCGTTGACATCCAACTCTTGACATGACATAAAAAAGGTCGGTAACGTTAATCATTACGTTCCGCTGCCACCATCTACTGGCTAACGTTAAATGTAGAACAATATAGTTACATACATAAATACATCTGTCGGTTTATAGGCAGGTTACAGGTTTATTGTTGACCACGTAACGTTAATGTTACAGGTTTATCAGGTTACCATTACACTGGGTTTGAGTGAGAGGATAGAGGAATATGTTTATTTATAGTAGACTTAAAAGATGTAAAGAGACCCAGTGTAATTAAACAATACGGTTGCAGAGGTCAAATTTTAACATTTTTGTCCACTGGCCAAATGGCTAGCCTAGTGAATGTTGAAATGTTACCAGCCACTCAATAGATTGCCATTGTTATTTTCCTGCGGGGGATTAATAAAGTATTTGTGATACTGATTTCTGATTCTGAAGTGTTTTGCTTATAAGTTGTTTGCATTTAGCTAAAGTGTGATGTTTTTCCTCATATTGCATTGCAATAGCCTGTTTAAAGTGATCATATAACAAACAACTAATCAGTACTGATACTGTATGCTAATAGATATGAGTGATAATAATACAGTAAATGCTTTGAATTTCTTAGATATAGCTGTGCAGTATTCTTAACAGACTGGATAGCAGCAGACAATAGAAGGCTTATTACAACCAGAAGAGACATGAGACTTTTATTTTTTAGAGACTTGAGACTTGACTTGGACTCGTGACCAAAGACTTGAGACTTGATCAAGTCTCACCCCACAAAGACTTGAGACTTGACTTGGACTCGTGACCAAAGACTTGAGACTTGACTTGGACTTGCAAAAAAAGACTTGTGAACATCTCTGGTACACACCTCTTTTTATAGGATTTTTTAATTTTATATGACGATTATTTAGAATTTTCAGCAGATTCTTTATTGAAAAATCGCATGTCCTTTCCTATGTAGTATAACACTGAATCATGAGCCCTTTGAACCCCAAATCAATGCATAATTGTATACACTGTCCATGTGGGAGTACATATTGAGGGGTGAGAACCAGAGGGAAGTAAGTGACATTTGACCAACTTTACGAGAGCCAAAACAAAAAATGACCATACTTTATCCTGACTTTGTTTATTAAATTAAATCTTTAATATGAAAACTTCATAAACATGTGGATGACAACTAGTGCTGCGTCGACGATGTCGACGCGTCGACTTCAAAATATCGTCTACGACATATTTCCGCGTCGACGCGTCGCTACACACACGTGGGTCACCCAAAGCAACAAGCAGTTCGCAATCGCACTTCAAACACAATGGAGACTGAAACGGCTACCACCTCCTCCTCACAGGATTGCGCACGAAGCCCCCAAACGAAAACATCTCGCCCTAGGTCTTCAAAAGCATGGGAATATTTTAAAGTTAGTCCAAAACGCAAAGATATTGTCATTTGCAGTCTTTACCAAATGGAGTTGGCATATCACACAAGCACTGTGAAGCAGCAGCTAGCTGTGGTGGCTACCATTAGCAGCTAGCATTTGCTCTCCGATTTTTACATACAAATGGAATTATGGATTATAAATTCAATCATTTTTGTATACATAGACGTTAAAAACCTATGGATTAACCGATTCAGCCGCGTTTTTTCTCATTTTAATGCCATTGAACACGTCTTTTGATCAGATTGACAGCTACGGTGGTGAGAGGATCTCCCTAGAAGCTCTGTAAAGGTACGTGTTGTGATGACTGTATTTGCTTCCCCTGTCGCGAGTCCGGATCACTCAGTGATGATACTATATACCTACATAATCTGTGGAGTCTCAGCTTTAATCGGATATATTGTATGTGCAGCTACGATAAGTAATAAGTAGGGATGCTCCGATCGATCGGTCACCGATCGATATCGGCCGATACTCACTCTCTACCGATCGATCGGTGCTCTCTAAACATGCCGATCGCGAGAGCCGATCACATGACGTAAAATACATGACACTTTTCTCTGTGTGCGGCAAAACAAGCTCGCCAAAATGGCTTCACCGGTTTGGCATTATTTTAAGGTGTCCGAAAAAGACAGTAAAATAGCGGTATGCAACGTGTGTGAAGCAGACATCCTGCAGCTCCGCCCGCCGGACAGGTAAGCGCAGCGAAACACACACACAGGGAGAACCAGACCGCAGTTCATTTCCTCATATTCCAAACGAGAAATTACGGTAGCAAATCACCCGGTTCTTTACGACCAGAACTATTAACGGGATACAAACCGGAGGAACCAGGCATGGAGGGAGGGTGGCAGAGACAGTGGGTGAAACTGGTAAGTTTTCGCCTGTTTGGGGGAGTTTATATATATATATATATATATATATATATATATATATATATATATATATATATATATATATTGCTCGCATAAAATCCCCGGGGTTTTTTGCTTTGTATGTCGGGGGCGGGAGATTCATGTGATTGGTTGTTGGTCGCGTTGCTCGCAAAAAATCCCCAAGCTTTCAGACACGCCCAGCTCCAAGATTTTCAAGATTTTTGAAAAGCTGCTGTGTGGACGTACCGTAAGAGTTAGACCTAACACACTTAGCTATTTTATCTACCTCTGGAACAAGCTAAACTAGTTATTATAAATATATTTATTCTTCATTGTCGGGTCACTCATTACTGGATCAGTGAGCTGCATGAGATACTGACAGGCTGTCAGGAGAGGGAGAGAGAGGAGAGAGGAAAAGAGAGCGCTTCCGCTAATTTCTCCCGTGTTATTATCCAAAGTGAATGTAAACTTGAATAATAGGCTACAGAGTCCATTGTGATCATATCAAATATCAATATCACATTAGTTCACTGAATAACAATAAATTACATTAAACCTGGCCTAATAACTGTTTGGCCAATCAAAAACTACTTTAGAACATTGGGAATGTCAAATATAGCAATATAATTATATACGACAACAGCATATTTCATGCAGATCATGTAAGTTTCAGATTGATTTGAAACGACAAACTAGCCTACTCTGCCTACATAGGAGTGAGGGATACTCCCATTTGTGCGAGTACGTCTTTCTTTTTCACAGCAGTGATCCCAGGTGGACCTGTGTGCATCTTCTTTGGTTCAATTGCATGAGCACCTCTGGTCTCCTGCTTTCCAACTTGCAGTTTGGTCGGAAAGCTCATATTTGAACTGAATCCTTTTCGGATCCTCTTTTGTGATCCTGATCCTGATTTTGTGATCCTGATTTGTGATTTTGTGATCCTCTTTTGTTTTTGCCATTTCATTTTCTGCCAACAAACTGTTTGTCCCTCTGTGTCTTTGGTTCTGTTTCGGACCGTGTATTGTAGGGCTGTGCAATTAATCGTATTTTAATCTCGATTTTGGCTTGCAACGAGGTCCACAGTTTCCCCGCAGCGAGGCCCCCCCCCCCCGCCCCCCTGTTGACAGTTCACGAACGTGCCCCCTCGACTTCATCCACCACATCACAGTCATCAATTAAGGATGCACTTTACAGTACAGAGACCGGAGCGTCTGCTCACTGCAAGGGTCAGAGAGAGAGAGACCGGAGCGTCTGCTCACTGTGAGGGTCAGAGAGAGGGAGACCAGAGCGTCTGCTCACTGTGAGGGTCAGAGAGAGAGAGACCGGAGCGTCTGCTCGCTGTGGGGGTCAGAGAGAGAGAGAGCCCGGGGCGTCTGCTCGCTGTGGGGGTCAGAGAGAGAGACCGGGGCGTCTGCTCGCTGCGAGGGTCAGAGAGAGAGACCGGAGCGTCTGCTAGCTGTGAGGGTCAGAGAGGGAGAGACCGGAGCGTCTACTCGCTGCGAGGGTCGAGAGACAGAGACCGGAGCGTTAGCTCACTGCGAGGGTCAGAGAGAGGGAGGCGCTGTTGCTACGGGGTTAGCTGCTAGAGGAGGAAGGTAAGCGGAAGCTGGGTTGCTGTGGACTGCTGAAGGTAGGAAAGAAGAAGAAGAAGGGATGGAGGGATGAAGGGATGTATGTGCAAGGGGATTTTCGTGAAGCCTGTGAGCAGGCACAGAGGGCAATACGACCTGGCCCCCGCCAGGGGGTGCTGGTGAGTCGGGCTGTGTCCGAGGAGGAGGACGGAGGCCTGTGACGTCACGACCCGTGATGCGCGCGCGCGCGCGCCGCACGGTGGTTGGCTCTGGAGCAGGAAGAGCTGTGTGTGTCGTTGTTCTTGCCGTTGTGCTGCTGTAGGCTTTGTAGAGGTTGAACAGTCGAGCCTTGTTATCATTTCGGTGAAAGTGGATGCCGTTTTCTTTCAGGAAACGTTGGAGTTGAATGACTGTCCACCTCCTGAGTTCGGGCTCTGTTTCGGAGCGCGGCTCCGTCCGAGAGGCATGTCGGGTGCGCCGCTGCGAGTGGCCGGGGGCTGCTAATGAGGCAGGCTGCCGTTGGTGGGGAGATTGGAGCTGGCTGTGCCTGTTGTGGCCCCGGTTGTTTGCCCTCGCTGGCGGAGTAGACGAAGCCTGGGACCTGTCTGGAGTTGGAGGTGTCTCGTTGGGGGAGCTTGAGTGGGAGCGGTTGTGGCTGGTGTGTGGGACACTGATTGCCGAGCGCACGCGGCTCCGTTCGGATGCTTGGCTTAGATCCAACTGCTGAAACGTGGATGGCGGGTAGCCGATGTCGAAGAGATCTTCGTCTGACTCCGGTGAGTTGATCAGCAGTTCGGAATCCATGGTAAGTTGAATGTTCTCGTGGTAGCGTTTAGCTTGTTTGAACCGTGACGACGCACGGCGTGAATCACGGTCTGGCTGTCAGTCCTTGAAAGGATGGAGACAAGCGGCGGCCGGAAGTTTTGCCGGATATAAATAGGGGTGGCCGTGGTTCGAGGCGGAGTTTTAGGCGTGGCCATGCTCCTGAACCTATGTTAACAATTTAACCTCATTTTAAAAAGATGTGGCTTTAGCTGAATACTTTGCAGTTGAGTTATACTTAAAGTTCAGGGTAATCAACTGTTAAAAAGATACTGTTCAAATTATTATTTATTTTTTAAAGTTCAATAAATGGATGTTTTCAAAGTCAATGAATAATCGTATTTAATAATCGTGATATCAATATTGACCAAAATAATCGTGATTATGATTTTTGCCATAATTGAGCAGCCCTAGTGTGTTGTGAGAAGAACTTGAAATCCAGAAAGTCACTGTACCCAAGCTCAATCACCTTCTATGGCCTGTTCCTCCTTGCCATCCTCACAAGAGTGTACAGTAGTACCCCTCCGAACTGTACAAAGGCCCTTTTTTTCTGTCGGTCTCAATGGCTGCATGAACACTGTCACATTCCATCTTGCTGTGTCCAGACTCCATGAATGTATGGTCAATAATGGAGATGGGCAAGGTTTTAACTGCATGGAGACACATGGCACTAAAACCAGCATTCCTGTTCTGCCCACCACATGTGTCAGAGTACAGCACCACATGCTCAGTACCTGAAAGAGTTGACAGATACTGGAACATGCATGTGCTGATCTCTGATGAGTTGAATTCTCTGTTGAAGATGGATCTGTAGAAACTAAGTTTCCTTTGTCACTCAGCATTGACTTTGAATCCTGGATTATTTCATTCTCTTCATCAAGCTCTTCTGCATCTTGAAATAAGCTTAGTAACACTTCTTCAGTAGTGAAAAGCTTTCTTCTCATGGTTGACCTAGCTTGCTTACATATGGTGTCAGCCATTTTGACTCAAATGCTATCCAAAGGCTTTACCCATAATACATTTCTCAGGGCCAAAAGGGCGTAAGTGCACTTACGTCCTTTTGGCCCCAAATAGTTCAGTGTGTTCTGTGTTAGGTCTTTTGTTTTTTGATGAATAACTCTGGATTGGTTTTGAATTCACATGCACCCTATTGGCAGTAGAAAGAGCTCATTGAGAGCTTTCATTTGATATATATAACTCATTTTTGACCAAAATGTCACTTAATGTCACTGGTTCTCACCCCTCGATATTATTACAGGATGTCTCAGAATATCAGAATCAGAATACCTTTATTCGTCCCACAGAGGTGACATTTACGATGTTTACAGCTAAGAGCCAAAGGTAGCTTAAAGGGATAGTGGAAATCCGCGAATTTTGGGTTTAACTTATGTATTTTTATTAAAAATAAGCATAATAAACAATTTTTTTAATTTCATGCGCCTAGTTTCATTTTATTTTCAATTTTACTGCGCCCTCTCAATGAAACGAAATACTTCGGGAATCGTCGGGAATCTTCGGGTGATGACGAGAGCATAGGAAGACGGGCACAAACAATGGCGGACATTCAATAGCATTTGCATGTGAATAGCCGAGTATATTGCCATAAATATGATGATTGATTATCAGTAAAAAATTCTACGTGACACAACGACATTGGATTAACCTTGAGATGCGTTTTTATTCCGTTGAACACAACTTTTGATCACAAATCAAAAAAGGTAAGACGTAATTATTGTAATATTTTTGGAACCGGATGTTGTTTACTTTCTCTTTTCTGGCTGATAGCTATAGGAATTCGAGGTCTTACAGTGATGACATTACATGTGTGGAATCTGTGGAGTCTCAGCTTTAAATCGTATATCTTGTTTGTGCAGTTAAGATAGTAATAAGGGCATTTCTACCGTGTGTTGTGTGTAAAAAAGCGTAAGCATTAGTTAGCATTGTTTCGCTCAATGCTAATTCAAAGGCTTGGTATTACGCTTGTGTTTTTTCTAGCTAACAATTGTTCTTATTGTCAGTTAGTGGAGTTTCTTACCTTTAAAAGGGTATGAAACATTAATAGTTTCATAAATGTTAAGAAGCCTTGAGACATGTGAGAGAAAAAAAACTGTGGGAGGGGTCCACTGGGGGGACCTTCGGGATTAACTGGTTAACAATGATTAATATTTGTAAAGGCTACAGGTGATCTTAAGATGCGTGAGCTATGCTTAGGGACCTACCAGTCAAGATTATTTGTGCGTAGGGGTGCATCATCTGGCGCCTGGTCCTGGTCATCCTCGCCATTGCCCATGCCGTGAACCATCACCTCGGGCTCGGGCTCGAACAAATAAGGACGTAATGGTCCATCGTCTGGCTCAATATTGTCACCATCGTCGCTTACTGAACCGGATTCAGATTCAGTTCCTAAAACGACATTTTCGTAGGAAAGCCGAGAGGATGTTTCTGACTCGCTATCATCACTGGATACCTCGTACAATCCTTCTTCTTTGTCTGGTATATTTGCCCTTCCACGTTCATTCTGCATAGACGCCATGGTTTGTTATCGTATCGTCTTCCTAAGTTTTCGTCACTTCCGGTTTGGCTGAGTCGAACATTTCGTTTCTAAAAAACTTCGGGGAAGCTGCAATAAAGTGCTTCTAACATGCGTAAGGCATTTATTATATTTTTTTAATCAGGTGTGATTGTTTTGGTACGTAATTATGCTTGTATATAAGTTAAAACGAAACTATTTGAGGTTCCATTTCCACTATCCCTTTAATATCTAAGTATATCACTCAAGAAGCATGCATACAAACAAAAGATACAAAACTAGAAATTACACAATTTACAAGCGATATAGCAGCCAGGTGAAAGTATACCGGTTAGCACCGTCTGAAGTCCACCACCAGCTCTTTTTTATTCCTTGTCTTAAATTATATTGAATGTATATTTAGCTTCTGAACCATTGGTCAGACATAAGAAGAACATTGAGATTTAGCGTTCTTTTTCAGTTTTTCTATTTTTCCATTTTTTTATTAATCAAATAATTTATCCAACAATGAGAAAGTAACCTTCAGAGCACCAATACAATTCTGGCTCAGTTGTGCTCCACAGTAATATTCTCCGGATCAAGTGTCTATTAGTGAGTTTTGTGTCAGAGGAGAACAGCGCCAGCAGAGGGCTCACTAGGATAAACACTAAGTTGTGTGTGACTGTGTTTTGCAGGAAGTGGACTTGATCAGAAGTGTCCAGGCTCTTCTGAAGAGAATCAGATCAAGTGAGCCTTCACATAGCAGTCACTAGGTAGTATATTCCCCTCAAAGCCGCGGTGCTTAAGGGGGATGGCTTTCGGGCTGTTCCCGGGCCTTCACATAGCAGTCACGAGGTAGTATATTCCCCTCAAAGCCGCGATGCTTAAGGGGGATGGCTTCTCGGGCTGTTCCCGGGCCTTCACATAGCAGTCAGTATATTCCCCTCAAAGCCGCGGTGCTTAAGGGGGATGGCTTCTCGGGCTGTTCCCTGGCCTTCACATAGCAGTTTCACTAGGTAGTATATTCCCCTCAAAGCCACGGTGCTTAGGGGGAATGGCCACATGGCTGTTTCGCCAGGCCCTCTACTTATCAGACTGATCACCACCGTCAGGCTCTCAGTCCTCGCAGTTTTGGGGGATAGGGATGTAATCTCCATGCCGTGTTGGGGGAGAGTTATCTAATCTCCACGCGTGTTGGGGGATAGTTATCTATTCATCACTCAATGTTCTTTGTAAATCTGTGGAGTGATGAGGCCCGAGCCTAGACGCCAAACTCAAACTATATGCTGCTTATAATAAACATATTAAGAACACGTGAGTTGTCTGACTGAAATGGGGCGAAGCCTGCGAGCTAGTTCAGGCAGTTAACTCGAGCACCAATGATACATTAACACGTGACGCACCTCGTCCGTCTTACAACCAACTAAACACATTCTCCTAAGCATGCCACTCTATTTAAGCTGCCAGGTCTTCCTGCCTCGCTATGCTGCTGCTGATGCCACTGCTGTGTTCACTTGCTATTGCTACGTTCATGTTTCTGTTGTGTTTCATGTTGCTGCTACTTGCCTGCCCCACCACCACCCCAGCTTCTACCCCAGCTTCCACCTGTAGGCTCGGGATAGTTATCTAATCATCACTCAATGTTCTTTGTAAATCTGTGGAGTGATGAGGCCCGAGCCTAGACGCCAAACTCAAACTATATGCTGCTTATAATAAACATATTAAGAACACGTGAGTTGTCTGACTGAAATGGGGTTTTTCGGATGGTTCTTTCTTTTTTGGTTACTGTGATCTTCTACAGTTGGGACGTTACTACTGCTATTTCTACAGTAACACCAGAGTTGCTGTAATTTTTGGTTGGAAACACGGTATTATACTCTAAAATGGTATACAGTAATTTACTGTGCACAAACACTGTAAATAACTGTGGATTTCACAGCCATTTTTTACAGTGCACTCACTGCTCTAAATGCAGAAATGAAAAAGGTCTAACATTTGACTGGCATGCTGACACGTTCTTTATTTTGGGTGGGACATTTTCCCACTTCTTCTTTCTGTTTATTTTTCTTCGAAACTGCAATGCAATAACATGAGGATGTGGAGCCTTGAGAACCTGCCTTTCACTCTGTGCAGTAAGTTACATACATTAATCTGTTTTTATGCTAATTACATTTGGAAGAATCATTTTTTGTAGCTATACAGCAATATAACAGCTTGCATTTTTAACTACATGATGAGATGAGAAAAGGCATATTATTGACGTATAAGAGATTCATAGGAAGCCAAATAAACTTCAAATGAAAAATAAAAGTTATAGATGATTTCTATGATTTTTTTATTTATTTTGTGTTTTTTCTTTTCAGTTGCTCTGATCTGTGTGAGGAGCGCAGCAGCGTTGATCCATGTGTTTGAATATGAAGGAAGACAGGCTGTAGTATATTGTCCCTATATACAGGGTTATGAGGATTATGAGAAGTACCTGTGCAAGAACGAATGCGGCAACGACGATGATGTTCTTATTAAGACGACAGAAGCAAATAAACACAAATACTCCATCGAGGATGACGGAAAGGGACTCTTCACAGCAACCATCTCTGATCTGAGTTTGACGGATGCTGGGAAATACTGGTGTGGGGTGACCAGGACTGGAAAGGATATCTACTCTGAAGTGCAACTAGATGTAGTTGAAGGTAAGGCAAAAAAAGGTTGTGCTGAATTTAAGTGTGATCGCTACGAGCAGATGGTTATTATAACCAACAAAATTTGTTATTTTCTCATGTATAGTACCATCTTACTTAGATTTGTGTATTCATAACATGAATTTAAATTAATGACACAGACAGCATCATTGTTTTATTACTTTTACTGACTGTTTCAAAGTACAGTTCAGCTTTTTTAAACACTTTATAAATAACCCTACTAATTACATTTTGTATAGGTCAGTTACACGATAACACGGTGCTGCTGGTAGAGTTAGAAAACAAAAGCAGTTATAGAAATACAGTATCATGGAAGTAAATATATACACCTTTTACTGTTTTAAAACATTATCCCATATGTTATGTATGAAATGACCCAAAATGAACACAGTAAGTGGACTATTACTACTACATCCCAAACGTATTCTTTTAACAGCATTTGAATTATTCTTTACCAAGCTTTTGGATCCATATATATAAGTGTTTTAGGGTTTAAACATAATCACTATAAGCTGTTTACACTGTAATTGAAGTTTTCTTGAGTGTCATCTCTCCTTCTCTGCACTTATGTCAGGGGCATTATTATACTTTTTCACTCTAGTACATTTAACGTAAGTGTTTTTATATATAAAAAACATATGATCATGCTATAAAATTGATGCAGAAAAATCAGAAGGTGTTGTATGTGCTTACGATACGACACGATACGATAATACTTTAATGATCGAGTCTGAAATTTGACTTGCTTCACAGCAGCTCCATGTGTAACATCAACATAGACAAATATCAAGACACAATACATGAAGAACAAACAACAAACATTTAACATAACAGCACTAACATTACAAGCTTGTAACAGTGTGAGATGTGTGTTTCTCCAACAGACAGCTGTTGTGACACAACCAGCACAGTTCAGGGTAACGAGGAGAGTTCAGCATCATTCAGCTGTACGTATGAGCCGGAGAACAAGGACAGTGAGAAGTACTTCTGCAGAGGAAACCAGCCTTCCAGGTGTCTGCAGAACACTTTAATCACGTCTCCCAACCAACAAAACAGACGGTTCAGACTTACAGATGACAAGGCGTCAAGAAGGTTCACACTGACAATCACCAGTTTGACCAAACAGGATGCTGGCTCGTACCTTTGTGGTGTCCATAGAAACACCGATCTGGATTTGTTTGAGGCTTTTGAGCTAGCAGTCCAAGGTGAGACATCCTCCTTAACCATTATTTATGTTATGTATGTTAATCAGCCAGAAAACAACTTTCTGTCACATTTGCAAACAGAATTATGAAAGATTTAAAAACCAAAGCTTTGAATTTACACTTTTATGATTTTTGTATCCATTTATTTTCTGAGCTGAACAGAAGCTGCAGTTTTGTCTCACACCTCCTATTGTTCCACAGGGTGGTGCTGTGTGAACACAAACAAGCTGAAAGGCATTGTGGGACATCCAGTAACCATGCACTGCCCCTACCCACCACAACACAGGGATAACAGGAAGTTTCTCTGTAAGGGATATAACCGCAAAAACTGTAGAGACATGGTGAAGACTCAAAGCAGGTTCACGCTGCAAGATGATGTTTCCTCCAGCTCTTTCTCTGTGATGATCACAGAGCTGAAAGCAGAGGATTCTGGGACATACTGGTGTGGATCAGACTCACAGTGGAATGTTGGAAACTACCTCAAGATTCAACTATCAGCAGGTAATACTTAAGCAACCTTGTGATGGGAACACACCAGCCGCGAGGATACAGTTAGCACTGGATTTAATTCCTCTGTCTGGAAATCTGCTGTATAAAGCTATTAATTAATATTTTACAAATCTGGGAAATAGGCTTTATGTGAGTTTGTATTATCACTGCAAAGTTTATTTGTAAATTCAAGGGTTTTTGTGTGCAGCTAGTTGCATGCCAGGAGGCTAGACTGTATAGAAAATGCAAACTACAAGAGCAAAGATATATTACTTTGATTTATTTATTGTAAAGTGCGCCACACAACCATTGACTTGTCTTCTCCAGGCCTGTGAAATAGGTTGTTTTGAGTTGGCTTGATGTTCACCTTCTTGTAAAATATAAGCAGAATACATTATTACAAGAAATCTAACACAAACTAAAATACTTTTGTATTCAACTTTTTTGGGAACGTATTGGTCAGATAACTACATGGGACATGCTACAAACATTATATTTGATTTTGTTTTAGATTTTCATATAAATAAAAGCATATCATTAAACGGTATGGTATGATTCCCATGCCCTAGCTTCTAGTTTCTAATACTAGCTAAATAGCACTTAACATAAAACGTGCTGAAGAAACATCATTACTCACCATAAAGTATAGGACTGGACACATTTTAAATAGGACCTGATGATTGCGGTACATACACATCTGGGAATCACCAGCATTATTAAATGTTATCCACTTGAGAACACCACTGTCAAGAAAGTGTCAGTATATATCACCTGAACCAAAGTTTTGAGCCAATGTATCCAGTAAATGTTCATCCTTTGGGGAAAGTGAATGTATTGACAGAATCTCATGTCAATTCTTTAAATAGTTGTTGAGATATTTCAGTCCAGATCAAGTTGGTGGGCTGACCAACTGACCAACAAAAATGCCATCCTTAAAGTTCCACACCAAGCAATGCTAAAAATAAGAATATTTATTAAGTGTAGTAATAAGAACATTTTCTCTTACAGCATTTGAGAATCAGACTACCAGAACTGTGGTCTCTACCATCACTGTGGTATCCACCAGCACTGTTGGATCACAACTGACAAATACCACTGGAAAACCTATCAACAGAATGTGTAAGTGTGATTGTGAAGCAGATGTGTTTTTTCAGGAGGTTTATTTTTTGACTCTCTTCTGCTTTTCCCCCCTGAAGCAGTTCTCTTTCACCCAGTGGTCTACATCATCCCTGCTCTGCTGCTCACACTGACATTCGCCCTGGTTATAGTTTGTAAATGCAGAATGGACAAACGGAGAGGTGTTTAACATACAGAAGGATTCACAAAGCATGAACACACACAGGCAACCACATCGACAAGTTGTGTAACCATTTCTTATGTTGTGTGTTTCCAGGAACAAGAGCCAATGTTAACAGAGACAACACCAATGAAGCAGCAATAGAGGAATTGCTGGGTGAAGCAGATGTAAGATAACTTAAATATAATTATGTAAAGTATAGTTTTTGGGTTTATGAAGGATGTATTGCATATCACTGCAGTTGGCCTATTAGAATATATTCTATAATCTTTAGACATCATTTATAAGGCTGTTTGAGAAAAGTTATGGATCTGACAACAAGGGTTCGTCCTCCTGGGAGCATGATTACGTTTTGAGAATTTGAGAATAAGATACCTTCTCAAGATTTAGATATTTATTGGGAACAAGTGGACATATGGTATGATTATGGCATTAGAGAAAAGGTCAGATGGTCACCAAACTCATGAAAAATAATTCCTGCCATGAAATGTTGTAATATGGTCCCAAGAGGCTGCATCCTATTGAGTTTGGTGACCTTCCGAGTTTTCATCTAGCACCATCATCAGGTCAGAATGTAATTTGCCCAATACTGAGGTTAGATACTGGCAAAACTCATGATATCCCCATCAGTCTCTGTCTTAGTTCTGATGAGCAAATGTTGTTCTTGAATTACTGATCACATTTAAAAGACCTATTTTTATGTGCATAATAATATGAATTTTGATCAGAGTATAAATTCTCTTTTTATATTTGTTGATTCTTTTTTAGATTTATGCAAACCAAGAGTTGGTGCTCTCAGAAAAGTTGCCCAGCAAACAGCGGCGTGCCTGTCAACGCAATGAGTATGCAGGTGAAGACCAACAAGACTCTGTGTACCGCAACATCTCCGCATCAGAGGATATCTACTGCAATGACATTTACATAAACAGTTAGCCATATGAACAGCATGCACCGCTGTGATCATCCTCTCATTTCTAGGTCACATTTGTAACCAATGATGTGCTGATGATGTGTTCAGGAGCAACAAAGATATGTATTTTATCAATAATTACCATCAGTTATATTTGTATTCATTGCTTTATTAAAGGGATAGTGGAAATGGAACCTCAAATAGTTTCGTTTTAACTTATATACAAGCATAATTACGTACCAAAACAATCACACCTGATTAAAAAAATATAATAATTGCCTTACGCATGTTAGAAGCACTTTATTGCAGCTTCCCCGAAGTTTTTTAGAAACGAAATGTTCGACTCAGCCAAACCGGAAGTGACGAAAACTCAGGAAGACGATACGATAACAAACTATGGCGTCTATGCAGAATGAACGTGGAAGGGCAAATATACCAGACAAAGAAGAAGGATTGTACGAGGTATCCAGTGATGATAGCGAGTCAGAAACATCCTCTCGGCTTTCCTACGAAAATGTCGTTTTAGGAACTGAATCTGAATCCGGTTCAGTAAGCGACGATGGTGACAATTGAGCCCTACGATGGACCATTACGTCCTTATTTGTTCGAGCCCGAGGTGATGGTTCATGGCATGGGCAATGGCGAGGATGACCAGGACCAGGCGCCAGATGATGCACCCCTACGCACAAATAATCTTGACTGGTAGGTCCCTAAGTATAGCTCACGCATCTTAAGATCACCTGTAGCCTTTACAAATATTAATCATTGTTAACCAGTTAAGCCCGAAGGTACCCCCAGTGGACCCCTCCCACAGTTTTTTTTCTCTCACATGTCTCAGGGCTTCTTAACATTTATGAAACTATTAATGTTTCATACCCTTTTAAAGGTAAGAAACTCCGCTAACTGACAATAAGAACAATTGTTAGCTAGAAAAAACACAAGAGTAATACCAAGCCTTTGAATTAGCATTGAGCGAAACAATGCTAACTAATGCTAACACTTTTTTACACACAACACACGGTGGAAATGCCCTTATTACTATCTTAACTGCACAAACAAGATATACGATTTAAAGCTGAGACTCCACAGATGTAATGTCATCACTGTAAGACCTCGAATTCCTGGAGCTATCAGCCAGAAAAGAGAAAGTAAACAACATCCGGTTCCAAAAATATTACAATAATTACATCTTACCTTTTTTGATTTGTGATCAAAAGTTGTGTTCAACGGAATAAAAACGCATCTCAAGGTTAATCCAATGTCGTTGTGTCACGTAGAATTTTTTACTGATAATCAATCATCATATTTATGGCAATATACTCGGTATAAAGTATTGCCGTCTTACAGTCTTATAGTATTACCTATAGTGAACATTTCTGAACAAATTTCACCCACTGACGACGAATGGCTGGGTTTCTTGGAAACGCATGAGTCGATACGCCATTCTCTGCATTTGCTGTCGCACTACAGCCATACAAAACACATCTATTCACCATAATAAAGGTCGGCTATTCACATGCAAATGCTATTGAATGTCCGCCATTGTTTGTGCCCGTCTTCCTCTGCTCTCGTCATCACCCGAAGATTCCCGACGATTCCCGAAGTATTTCGTTTCATTGAGAGGGCGCAGTAAAATTGAAAATAAAATGAAACTAGGCGCATGAAATTTAAAAAAATTGTTTATTATGCTTATTTTTAATACAAATACATAAGTTAAACCCAAAATTCGCGGATTTCCACTATCCCTTTAATTGCTTTAACTTTACTTTTGCTTTTTACTTATGTTCAATATGAAGGCATGTTGTTAATATACCAACTGTTTAATACACCTGCATTTCCAACAAGAAACTGTAAATAACCATTTAAACTTATTATTATCTATGTAAGTTACCTTCATGGATATATGTACCTTAAGCGACCTTGGGTATATGAAAGGCGCTATATAAATGTAAGTAATTTTTATTATTAAGTGTGATAAAATGAAAACAATGGATAAATAAACAAAACCAAGAAAATCCAGTCTATGTTGAAACACTACATCACCAGGTTATTTGTTTTTACAAATACTTTCATATATGTGCATATATGCATATATTCTAAAATTAAATATTACTCCTTGTTATTTAGTTGACTCATTATTTATTTTCGATCAAAAAAGCAATGGGATTTCTCCATAGGATTTTGGAAAATAGCTCGAAATAAGATCTGTGGGAAACGAACCTATTAGATAAATGCACGTTTTGTTCAGCCAGATAATATCAACATGTCTACCCCATAGACTATATATAATATACCCTAGACATGTGGGACGCCAAAAAAGCCCGAGATTATGGAATTAAACCAATAAATAAAAGCAAGGATAATTGTGTGTTATTGGTGAGTAAATAACAGTGTGTTATTTTAAAAATACAGGTTTCAGTATTCTGAGGCTCTGAGCCCCATTTATTTTCCTCACAGACGGCAACAAAAGTCAGAAATTATACGATTTAAAATAAAAGCAATAATTGTGGCTTGATATTGAGTAAGAACATGTTTTTATGAACCACACAGCTTCCGGTCTTCCACGACCCGACCGGAGAAAAAGACGTGCTACAGGCACGAAACACATTACCAGTAGAAATACATTGCTTTTAAAATCATGCTGTGCAACACGAAAAAAAAGGGAAAATGGTGTTGGTGAACACGAATCAATAGATTAAAAATCGTGTTGGTGAACACGAAATGCCATGAGACTGGGTTGGGTTAAAACCAGTGGCGAGCCGTGACTTTTATACCTAGGCCCTCTGACCCCCCCTTCCCGTTATTACGTCTCAGCGTATACTTCAGCGGAATATCAAAACCGCGGCCCGGGGTGCAAAACGCATCAATGACAGCGACCCTCTACCACACAAAACAACACAATTTATATAAACACCTATCATGACAGGGCACCCACAGCCAAGTAACAATTACAAATGAATTAAGGCGGCCCGCATTGAAAATGACTTAGGCCTACCTTTGATGATCAAATCACTTAAACACAAAGTCCATCCTCCTGTCCTTTTGGATGAAGCATTTGCGGGTCATTCAGCTGATCCTTTGCCACTCCAGTTTATCATTGTAACTCAATCTTGAAAATGACTCGGTTAATAATTTCGCAACGATGTCATCACTATCACTGAAGTGAGCCATCATGAACGAACTTATGCTAATTATAAATCTATCGATCATAAATCTATCCATTTGATTTATGATTCGAAAATAATAAAAGTAGGGTAGACATGTGGATATTATCCGGCTGAACAAAACGTGCATTTATCTAACACGTTCGTTTTCCACAGACCTTATTTCAAGCTATTTTCCAAAATCCTATGGAGAAATCCCATTGCTTTCTGTCGAGGGAATCCGAGCGCAGCTTACTTCCGGGTTTTAGGATGCGTCACTGCACCACTTGTATAGACCTCACAGCGGGCGGAACTTGTCATAAAGTCCGCGAAAATAAAGCCCGCCCATTTAGAGGGAAGATATGATTGGTCAATTGTACTGTCATTTGACATTACTCTCTCGTGCTCTTGGCTGGCTGCAAACTCGAACGAAAGCTTCGAACTGAGAGGGCTAGAACCGAAAGCCGGAAGGAGGAGATCATCCAGAGCGAGCTCGAGATTGCAAATGGTCGGCGGTGGCAACACTGGACTGTGACTGGACGAGAGATGGCAGAGGGAAGTGACGAGGCAGGAAGCGAGTTAGGAGACATGGACGTAGCGGGCAGGAGTTGTGATAATGGAAAATGGGATATAGTGAGGAGAAAGAAACGTAAAAATTGAGGAAATACTCATTCGGATGAGAGCAATAGTGAGGATGAATGGAGAGAAAGAGTAGTCGGAAATAGGCAACAGGAGTTCATGGTGATTGTGAAACTTGCGCAAGAGGGAGCTTCGTTCGGCGTGTGGAACCCTATACGGTTAACTAAATCCATCAGTAAAGAAATCGGGGATGTAATGAGTGCTAAAGTATTGAGGAATGGATCAATGTTGATCAAATGTAGGGATAGAGAACAACAGGGGAGAGCAATAAAGATGAGTACCGTGGAGGGTAAGAAAGTGGAATGTTCACTGTTCAGTGGTAAAAAGCTAGTCAGGGGAGTTGTGACAGGAATCCCCGTCAGAATATCAGCTGATGATGTGAAAGGGAATATAACAAATGCAAAAATAAGTGATGTCAAACGCATGAAAGCAAACCGCAATGGGATTAAAGAAGATAGTCTTTCGGTTCTGATCACCTTTGATGAAAAAAGGCTTCCGGAAAAGATACTTATTGGATATATGTGTTATGATGTGAGACCGTATGTTCCACCACCACTAAGATGTTTTAAATGTCCGAGATTTGGACATGTTGCGGCAGTGTGCAAGGGAAAACAAAGGTGTGGTGGAGATCATGAATACGGAAAATGTGAAGAAGGGGCAAAGCTGAAATGTTGCAATTGCGGAGGGGAGCATAGTTCAGCTTCCCGGGGATGTGAGGTTAGCAAGAAAGCAGAAGAGGTGCAGCGAGTCAGGGTGACGCAGGGAGTTAGCTATGCAGAGGCAGCAAAGACAGTTTCAGGAGGAACGCAGGTTAAAATGGGAAACAACAATAAGAGCAAAGAAACAGGAAAAGTCCACAACTGTGTTAAGTTGAAGGAGGACACTCTGATAGTAAGTAAAAGAGAGTTTGTACTGTTTATGGCAGAGATTATCAACTGTTCAGCGCAGACTACAAGCCGGAATGAAAGAATCAAAATAATTGTCAAATCAGCTGAAAAGTACCTTGATGTGAAAGGAATGCACTGGGAAAATGTGAAAGATATCCTAAATGATGACGTCCAACAACCTCAGACATGGACTGGATCATCCTGATGGTGTTAATTGTACTGCAGTGGAATGCTAGAAGTTTAATTGCAAATGGACAAGAGTTCAAAAAATATATTGACAACCTGGGAGAGAAACCTAATGTTCTTTGTATTCAGGAAACATGGCTGAAACCACAACTGGATTTTATTGTGAAGGGATACACTGCAGTTAGAAGAGATAGGGCAGAGGGGGAGGAGTTGCAACATTCATACAGAGTGGTATAAGTTACAAAGTTATGCATGTAGGTACAGATCATGAAGCAATAGTTATAAGGGTATGGAATGATAGAGGACCTATAGATATACATATCTTGCCTCAAAACGATG